ACGAGTAGGGAACCGCAGAGGTCATGAGAACACACCGATGTGCCGGAAATGCCACCATGCAACGCCCTTGCTGGTTACCGAGTCTGCCGACATTGTGTCTGTACATTGCGTACGCACCTGTGCGTTTGTGGGTGGTGTTGCGTGCTGAAGAAAGTTTGAGAAAGCAGTAAACACCAGTTGGCCTTGTCATGTGTTATGCCTACTTATTAGAGCAGCATGTGGATCCCAATTTGGATGGGAGGCAAATTGAGCACACAGCAGGAGGCGGGAAGAAGGAATTTTGAAGCATTTCGTTTCCAGTCTGATGGTAAGACAAACATGGACGGCAGAATTTGTTGGTATCAGACAATTCGCGTCAGCTTAACAACTGCTTCCTGTAGCTGCATTACAAGGATAGCGGTTAATATGCGCCCAGCAGTTGGAATTAGTTCAGAATTCAAACACAAGAACAGCAGTGCAGTGCGAATAAATGATCGGTATTAATCGATTACTGTTCGTTCTTGAGAATTTCCTTGCTATTTTCCTGTTGGTTTTCTGGATATTTCCAACCTACTGTGTACTCACTACCGGAAATTCGCGTTATAGTGCCGCAGAAGGCAGTAAATAAGCAGTCTTCCTCTTTTATGATACCAGTAAATTCTGGTTTTCATGCGTATTTCAAGGTCCAAGTACTTTCCCACAGGATTTTACTAATTGTAACCAACACACCCTGTACGAGGTTTGTTAGTATTACAGAGAGAGGGAGTCGTTTTATTCAATGGCTCAATCAAATTTCGGCAAATAAAAAACAGAGTATTTAGAGTGCCGGAGTTAATTGTACGAAACAAATCCTGCTCGCATTTGCCAAGTTACTATGCTACCAATTTCCACATTAACTACTATTATGCTGCTTATTCTCGTTCCACTCTGCTGCCTCTGGTGTGGTCGGACCGAATCGCTCAAAAAAGCATACCACAGGACGCAGTTGCCAGTCCCAGCGGTTGATTTTTGCTTTTAAAATTTCAATTGGTTAATCAACATAACAATGCACCCACTAAAATAACGCAACTGGAAAACCACGTTGCCCCTAAGAGAGAGTTGATTTTAATCAATCGTCTCTCAGTGTTAATCGAGGTGTTTGAAGTAATTTAAAACAGACATGGGCAGCAGGAGTTAGTGGTATCAATAAATCTCGTGATGGTTGGCTGCAGTTGAAAAGCTTGTATTGGCAAGTTGAAAAGCTGTCACGAAATTTGGTAGTAGCATAAAACCTGCTTTCCACGCCTGCTTTAAATTCACAGTTGGAATAAATTACTTGAAAGTTCTAGAATATTTATGCCGATCGACAGTTAATTTTCTAATAGTATCACAGTAATTTTTGCATGTGAAATCGATGAAACACGAAACATGAATGTTAAAATGTGTGAACGATGTATCCACTGCATTTGCTTCCAATGTTTAGTGTTGTCACAGTTAATGTAAACAAAAAGGTTTATTTAAATAAAGTTAGTAGTAAGTTATATCTCATACGTAAGTAATGAAATATTGGCATCCCAAGATATTAGTTCCGAGCATAAAGCTTTCTTTGGGAAAATGTCGAATTTTATTTCGTACATTTTCGACGCGGACCAACCGGTCGTCTTCAGACGTGGAAAACTGTGCAACAAACAACTAAAAATTTTAAACGTTCGGAAAATCAATATTCATCCGACGTGTGCACCGATTGGCAGGATGTTTGGTCTGTGCTGGTAGGTATTATGTGCCTTCCGTCATTTGGCTGTCTGCTGTGTTTTGGTGGTGCGCATTCAGTTTGGCTTTGTGGGCAACGTAGCTAGCGTCCAAGTCAATATACCTGTTGATGCATGCCTCGTCTGAATGCATTGCTTATAGGAATTCACGGCCTTTTCTAGTTGGACAAGTGCCAACAATCCGTGTTTTCTCCCATGCGAATTCTT